CCGCTAAATTAGAGGAGGCTTCAAAAGCAGCTGATGAAGCTGAACGGTAACAAAAACATGCCCCCAGGCAACGGCTCCTTATACCCCTGGCTGGCTATTTTTCTGAAATCTTCGAGCCTGTAGGCGAAGAGTTTTTAAAAATTTTCTCAAAAGTTTGTGCTTTTTTATGTTGCAGATGCCTCCTTTTTTGCGATACTGCTAAAAACATAAATCAGCAAGAAAATTTCGATAACAATTTTTCTCGTTTTTTGGAAATTCTCAGAAAAAATTGCGAACGGAATTAAGGTATTTAGATATTTTTTCAAATATCGCAATTTTGGAAGCTTCCGCAACTTATCGAGCATAAGCTTTTTGCTTAGCTTCTAGATTATCGTAGGATTTAGGATAGGAGCTATTCGTAATCACGTTAAAACTGATGCATACGGTGCAAGCACACGAAATTGTAGGCGGAGGCTGAGGTTGCAGCTCTGAATCGTCGTATGACACTTCTGGAAGAGGAGCTCGAACGGGCTGAGGAGCGCTTGAAAATTGCAACCGATAAATTGGAAGAAGCCACACATACAGCTGACGAATCGGAACGGTCAGCGGGCATTGTTTTGCTGGTGCTGTTGACGAATTCCTGGATTCTCGTTCGATTATCCAGAAATTTTGTCACAGATGAGAAGCCAACCGAGCCAGCAGCAGCTACTGCCCCGTGAAGCCCTGTCGCTCCCTTTTCGTGCTTCGTTTTTGAGCAGTCACATCATTCTACTCATTTTTCAGTGAGTAGCTATCAATATCCCTTCCCCCTCCTCTGGAAAAAAAAAACGTAGAATAAGTCTCTTTGCACAAAGCATTTTTTGCTATTTTAATTTTTTTGCACTCACATTCTCATCCTCATGCAATACGTAGAGATAGCTTATTAATCCATAAGCTCACAGAATGATTATAATAACAAGATACAGGTGTTGTGCTACGTACATGAGAATTACGAGTCCCTTTTAATGGTGGCGTTTGTTCAGGGGCTCTATCCCTCCAAATTTTCCTATTATTTAATCAGTTTCTTTCAAAATTAATTATAGTAGTTGACTGTTACTGGAATATTGGTAACCAGACCTCATTCAGGTCACTTCTCAAACAACTTTTT